CTAAAATGGGGTGTTGCAGGATGTTGCTGCATAGGTTTTCTCCAAGCAAGAATATTCAGACGATGTGATGATTTCCTTCAGACAAGAGGTGTGTCAACTGGTTAAGGCCATCATTTAGAGCTCTCATATGTAATTGAACTCAAATAGGCTTCATGAAGATTCTGTTTTTATTTGTGCAGGTAGCTGTCATGAAAAGACTCCGGCACCAAAACGTCTTGCTATTTATGGGTGCGGTTATTTCACCTCCGCATCTCTGTATTGTTACAGAGTTCCTACTGCGGTGCGCTCTTAGCTTTACTTACGAGAACAATCCAATTTGCACAGTTTGAGTCATAAATCTCGTGATTATTCTTTTAATCAATTCAGAGGTACAAACATTTTAAAAGCCATTACATTATCAATCATTCATTTATTTATTTGATTTTGTAGTGGAAGCTTGCTTCGGTTGCTTCAAAGGAACAGAACGCAATTAGATTGGAGACGGTGCATTCCCATGGCTCTGGACATTGTGAGTATCAAGGGGTGAATAGCTTTCTTATAGATTGGATAGCTTGTCTTCCATGTTGTTTCATCATTATCACCTTGTTCTCAATCCTTCTGCAGGCACGAGGCATGAACTATCTTCATTGCTGTAACCCCCCCATTATTCATCGCGATTTGAAGTCTTCAAACCTTCTAGTTGATAAGAACTGGACTGTGAAGGTGTTGCCCTTGCTTTCAGATTCATTTATGCTTTATTTATTCATTTCCTTTGGTGGGATTCGTCTCATCCTATTATTTATATTCTTGGTGCAAAGAGTAAATGCTGTTTTTTGCCACTAGGTTGGAGATTTTGGTCTATCACGCCTCAAACATGAAGCATATCCTGCTACAATAACAGGAAAAGGAACGGTATGGTAGTCAGCTACTAACCTAAGTTTTCTTATAATCATCTCAAAGTGCCAACCAGCTAAAATATAATAGGAAATAAGAAGCTAAAGTTCATTTTCATTTTATCAAATTTTCCTTGGAAAATTCTGGGTTACCTGCAAACCATAATGCTCCAGTTCTTAGTTAAATCATAATGCTCTGCTGATCCTGTCCAATGCTGTTTCTTCAGCCTCAATGGATGGCGCCAGAGACTCTCCGTAATGAACCACCAGATGAAAAGTATGTTGAGTTTCGTGCTTCTTAGTTCTTTCGATTAACCTGGCAGGCAACCATGGGAGTATAAATATTCATTTGTCTGGAATTCTTGCAGGTCTGATGTGTACAGCTTTGGAGTGGTACTATGGGAGCTGGCCACCGAGGCTGTCCCATGGGATCATCTCAACACAATGCAGGTTTTGATATATATATTATATATATATTATATATAAAGGCCTTGGTGTTCTGTTTGTGTCTTGTTGGGTACTCTTTGTTGGATGGCGAAAGAAAGAAGTACAAGAATAGTTGCAAGAAACGCTCATCTTATAATTGTTTTGATAACCCGCAGGTGATTGGAGCTGTAGGGTTCATGAACCAAAGATTAGAGATCCCCGGAGATGTAGATCCGCAATGGGCCTCCATAATCGACAGCTGCTGGCAGAGGTTTGTTATGTACAACCTTCCTTCTCACAAAAAGATAAACTAAAATCAGAAAACAAAGTAAAGAAAGAAAGAAAGTTAAACCCTGAATCACTTTTTTTCATTCATAATGTGTTCTACTCAATCATAAAGCTAGGAAGAGTTCTTGCTTTTAACTTTATTTTTTTTATTTGGACGGTTAGCACGAGAACCTTATTGGAAGAATTTTTTGTTTAGCTGCAAAAAGGCGCCCTCACTCCCCTGCTGGATACGTAGGATTAAAGTTGGAAGATTTGGCCTACTCCACTAGCCCGTTGAGTTTTTAGGGCTATCCCATACGTTTCTCTGTTGCTGTGGGCAGGGCAGGGACGGATTCATAGTGATTACAGTTGGGGTGGGTGTAGATTATATTAGATTTAAAAAATCACTTAAAGCATGATGTGTAAGTACATGTTTGCCCCCGATAAATTTATGAAAAGATAAGGTGTCCAGTGAAGAATGGGTTGACCTCACTATATTTCTCAAAATAATATAAAAAAAATACCTTCATTATATGAAATTTGTAAAAAGTTTACTAAAAGTTAAGGGTTTTTTTTTCAAATTTGCTGCCAGAATTCTATAAGAAAAATAGTTTGACTCTGGTAAATTTGAAGAATAGCCATTTATCCTCACCGCTAAAATATAAAACTATCAATGTGTTGATTTTAATTCGAATATAAATATAATTCTATCAAAATTTTACCATTCAAATTTAATTAGAATATTCGATAAGTCAAATCTAATTATAAGTATCCGTGATCTGAAATAAATAGATTGGATATAGAATTAAACAATCTGATCTATTAAATATTTAAATTTGAATTTTAATAATATTTTTTAATAAAATTAATAATCTTATATATAATATTAATAAATTTAAACTTGTTAAGACTAAGTTAAGAAAATCTAAAAAAAAAAATTCAGGGACCAATATAATTGATAGAATAAAGTTAAGAAATGTAAGTGTAAAATAAGACATTTTCTTATCAAATTGAATTTTTTTATTGAATTTTGGATTATTCATCAGATTCAAGCATAGTTTAACATATATAAATCCTGTAACATTTTGGATCAGATTCGGATATGGAAGTGAATAATTGAATTCGGATTCAAATTTGTCTGATTTAACTCAAATCAAATAAAATTTCCTAGATCTATCACTGTCTGTGCACACGTACAATTAAAGGTCCTTTGGTTGTTTCATATCTACACATATGATATATTCATGTAACATGCACCCCCAGTTTCCCTTGAGATACTATAGATTCATCATAATAAATAGTTACTGCTTTTGCTGACTTGATGATTATTCCAGCGAGCCACGGTTCAGGCCATCGTTCCAAGAGTTGCTGGAGAGGCTCAAAGATCTGCACAGACACTACATCCTCCACTTTCAGGCCCAGCGCTGTCCTATAGAAGATGGTTAAAAGGAATTGTAGGAGGATTGATGGGTCGGAAATGACAGTGGAAAAGAAAAGATTGGTTGGTTATCTTGTGCCCTTTTTTTTTTTGGGATGCCATGAGACCTTTCTTGAGGGTGGAATGGTTGTGTTGGTTCATGTCATCAGGATTGTTTTGCTTGTTTCTTGTTGCTTAGACCATTTTTGTAATTTATGAGATTGGTTGGTGTTGGACCAGGATGCTTTGTTAAATTATTGGATTAAGGTCAAATTTCAAAATCTTTGACATTTAACTACACAGCACCACTAATTAATCCTAACTGATGCACTTCACAATTCACATTGCATTCCTCACTCGAGTTGTTTCATCTGAAATTTTTCATGAAACATGAGAAAAGAAGCCAACAGAGTAGTGCAATAAAGCTTTGTTAAGGAAACACCAAACAAGAATGTATAGGACAGGAACAGCTTCTCCACATGGGTCAGAATATGTTACCAGAAAACGTTAATACCTTGGCAAATTACATACGATTTAAGACATTTGTGCCTCAAATGAATAAACAACCTCATTATGCACCTGACCCATCAAGCCATGGGCCTTACAGCTTCTCAGAAATCATCTGCAAAGGTTAAAAGATCTCAAACATATCCCTAAACGACGGTAGAATGGTGAAGCTTTCAATAATACTATATACAAGAAGAACTACAATACGCACCTAAATTAGCTTTCTTATATGCCTCACGCAACACTAACTAGAATTGTAATTTATTTTTTAAATGTTATTAAATGGTACAGCTAGAGGCGTCTCAGCAATGCGAGAGCTTCAGATAAATGTAGGTAGCCATTCCTTGCCGTTGATGAAATCTAGGGAGAGGTAATGGGCTGCTCCTTTGTGTTCGAGTTGCCTTGACCACGAAGCCCGGTTCGTTGAGTCTGATCCTGGTCCATGGCAGGCGTACTCCGCATGGTACAGGTTTCTGGTTCCAAATTCACAAAATTTTCCCTTATAAGAAGTGAATCAGCATACTCCATAAAGCAATAATCTCATCAAGTAGGATTCTCCATGTTAGAGACTTATTGTATTATTATATAATGCTCCGTGATCTATTTAGACAGGCTGCTCTAAGATGCTTTGTTAACTTATTTACATTCCTTGGCTTATGGAAAATTAAACGAGAAAATCTGGAGTTTTCTAATGCCAAACATCCTCCGAAAAACCATTCTGAAAAAGATGCGGAAGTGTAGATTGAGTAGTGTTTGGTATAGGTAATTAAAAAGCTCAAGCTCGTGTACCTATTGTTTTTCCCAGGTGAGATTGAATTGACTTTGGAAAAGAAAAGGAAGCCAGCAAATTTTCTAGCTTATAGCAGAACACAGTGTCAAAGCTCGAGCTTTTTGTTTTTCTGTTAATACCAAAGAATTGAAGTTTCCTTACTCTGTGTCGCCAGAATAGCTCCAGTTAGTCCATCCTTGGGGTACAATTGTCTTTGAGAGGTAGGTGTTTGCAAAGATTACCCTTGAATGGGCAGCCTTGGCTCTTCCCAAGTATACTTGTCCAATGCCATATACCTTCCTCTGAGGAACACGAATCCACTCTCCTCGTTTCCACTCTCCCTATGGTGGGCCGTTATGGACCCTTGGATGTCTGCCCTATTGTTTGCGATCACGAATATCTCACAGTTCTGCAACCACATCCATTACATTATATTAATATTGATCAAACCATGATTTTTATTCTCTCTCTGTTTTCTGCTAGATCCAAGTTTGGCAGGAGTCTGGCGTGCTGGTCATGCTTTTTCTCCAAAATTTATGTACCACGTCTCTTGGAACAAAGCCATATGGATGACAATGGTTCGAAATTTTTCAAGCTCTGTTGTCTCCTATTAAAGTGAAAGCAGTTTCTGAAAATTCTGAAACAAATTTTTCTGTTTTGATTTATAAGTGCTTGCGCATGTTTTTCGAAATTTCTCTCAAAAACTGTTTCTGGAAACAACTTGCAAATGAGTTTTTTATTCTCAAAAAAGAGCAAAAGTGATTTCAAGGATAAATCCAAACGAGCCAAATGGACTCACTTCAAAGATGGATTGGCCTCGGCCAAATATGAAATCTATTGAGCCCTGAATGTAGCAGCCTTCATAGTAATGTCTTCCCTTGTAATCAAACAGAGTGTTGTAAGAGCTATAAAATGCACATTGGTAGAAAGCAGCCTTGTCTGCGCCCACAACCGCAGCCACTGACTGGTTGTGGGAGATATCTACAATCCCAGTCGCCGCCTCATTCTGTAAAAAGTAACAATAACAGATAAATAATTAATGACCGTTTGCTCAATTATTACTGGAATTAATCTAGTTGTGTCATTAAGATGTGAAGGGGACAGAGAGAATGGACCTTGAAGCTAATGCCATATGCTACGAAGTTTGGGGATTCAACTCTGAAGGTGGCAGATTCAAAGCCGTCAGGGGAGCTTTGGGACCAAACAATAAACGTCTTCCCCTTTCCATTCCCTCTCATAAAAATTTAAGGTCTATTTTGTGGTATATATACCTTTTCCCTGCAATTTACAAGTCAAAAACTTTTGTACGAGGTTAATCGCCTTAGTCACATTTGCCTAATGGATCTCTAACCATGAAATTTCCTAATGCACTTTTTAATGGTAAAAGATAAAAAGACTGGAAGAAATGGGTAAGAGTTCGTGTACTTAATTCCTAACATAATATTAAACATCTTGTCAAAGAATGATATTCATGGCATAGTGCTATAATATCCACTTCTTTTCCCATTAGAATTAATCAGAAAGTGTCTGAATAATGAGATTTGTATTGGTTAATTTTTTACCGGATTTTCTTACTCATGAACATGGACTGTAAAAACTTGGGTAAATTTTTTTTAGTATCATTAAATTTTTATTCGAAATATAGTTTTGTTAGGATCACCTGCAAATCCCTTTCCTGACATGAATGATGATCCAGTCAGAATTCCCTTCCGGGACTGAATCGATGGCGTCTTGAACAGATTTGAAGTCTCCCTTGCCATTGGCATCAACCGTGAACGAGCGGTTGGCGCCATTCTTTCGTGAGACGAGGGAGCAGTCTATCACAGTTATGGGAAAAAAGCCATGGGCAGTTTCTAGGAGAAAGAGGCATAAAACAAAAATGAAGGCAAACGAGATGTGTAAAAGAGGCATCTTCACTTTCTCTTTCTTCTTTTCTGAGGGAAGGGAGCTAGGGTAGGCGGGAAGGTAAGAGGGAAAGTCCTTGCAAATCCATTAACAAGGGTTGGTTGGATGCCCCACTTGATTCATGCAGGGAATTTAGGGCCTCCAAGAAATTGATGGATGGTACTTAATTATTTTTCTTCATATTTTTGTTGGCTACTTGCTAACGGCCTTTAAAAATATCGCATAGCAGATGCTCGCTTTCCAACGCACATGAATACGTATGCATGGGTGAATAATATCTTTTATTTTGCTTTTCTTTTTCCCCTTTTCCGCCTTTTGATTTTCTTACCTTTTATTTTTCCCCAATAAATTATTGGTCAAGACAATGGACTTGATACTAAATCTTGATTTAATAAGTTAGTAGCATTAACAATTATTAAATGTGTATTAAATATTAATTTTAATATTAATTTAATATATATTTTAAATTCTAACAAAGTGATTCAGAATTTAACATTAAATAAACCGGTCCAAACACGATGTTACACTGCTCATACATTTAGCTTCGCTCGAATTTCATCCAAAAAAATCAATCTAGAAAAAGAAAAAAGTGTATTACCAAGGGTGCGCTCGGTTAGGGAGATAAAATATAACTAGATAAGATAAGACTGATAATTTTATTTAAATTGCATAATATTTATCTGATATTTAGTAGTATTTAGCCAAAAGGATAAGAGACTGTAAGATAAAAAAATATTTTACATAAAATATTTTATGAGCACTGTTCATCATTCTTATCCTTGTGAATAATTAAAATTTGGTCATATTTTGTCTTTCTTTGTATAAATAATGGGAGCATTTTAGTCAAAAACAAGAAAAATAGAAAATTTGATAAAGATTAATAAAATTATTATACCCCTTCTCCTTTGTAATACTATCCCGTTTAAGCTTAAATATATATCTATGCCACGATTTTTATCCAATTTTATTATATGCGTACTAAATATATAATAAAGCAAGATAAGTCTTACCTTGTCAACCAACCATACATGCTCTCAACAAAGAAGGATGCAGCGTGATGTATCATGTTCAATGAGAATAAAACTACAATCCGGGTTTAAGAATTGGTCCTTGTTTGGTTGATTTAATAGAAATTTGTACCAGTTAACAAATAACTTCGAGGGTTAAGCATGCTTACTAGAACGTGACGTCAATTTATGACAGGTAGACGGGTTATAATAATGACCCAACCAACCCAACATGGGCGTATGGAGAGTCATGAGGTGTTAACCATGCCCATGCCTCAGGGCTCTGGTTGTTCTTGATCCAAACACTGCAAAATAGTTTAATATTTGAAACAGACACAATTTTACTAACCGCATTAATCACGTGTCTACCACATGACCGACAAAGTTTGACCCTCACGTCACGTGCACTGGATTCATAAGTTTTGTCAAGAATTAGACAGTGGATTCCTTATCAACATCTTATATATTCTTCTTGTAAATATTATTACAAATGGATTTTGCATTTATCTTATTATCTAAATAAGATATATATTATTTATATAATATTTATTATGTTGTTATTATTTTAATTAATATCTTAGGTAGAAGTGTTCAATGTTTTAAAATCAAATAGAATCATACTGAAAATTAAATTTTTTTTAAAAAAATTTATCAGTTATATTAATATATAATATCATACCAAATATTTTGATACGTTTTAGTTTTATACATCTAAAATTGATAAAAAAATCATACTAAACTAAGTATTATATATGTAATAATTTATTAAATTATTTATATTATATGTAAAATAACTATATTCCTAAACATTAACAATAATTTAATAATAAATTGAATAAATAAAAAAGTTAAGAACGTGTACGAACAAAAGTATAAATACTAAGGATTAAAGAGGAAAAATGGTTCTAATATATATTATGCTCTTACAAAGTAATTTCTTAACTTTTGTGCATTTCCTAGAAAATAAGACCCTTTCTTTTTTATCTTCTTTTAATTAGATTTAAGTTATAATGTAGTGAATCACTTACTTGTACATATAAAGCTTAACTAAAAAAATTTCTTACAAATACTTATCTATTGTAAATAAATAAAAAGTTTCACTTGTCAAAACTAAAAGATAGTTCTAGAAAGAAAAAGAAATAAAAATTATTTAAAAAGAAAATTGAACTAAGCATTAGATTTTCTTTCTATCAAAAACTTAAAAATAAAAAACAAATTTACTAGTACTAAATAAATATAGAAACTTCATAATTGAATTTCAAATTTCAAAATAGAAATTGTTACATCTTATATCTCAATTACCAACAAAAAAAGTGTAAACTATTTAATATACTAAAAAGAAAATAAAATTACAATTAAATCCATAAGGGACTAATATATTATATATAATAATTTATTACATTATTTATATTATACATAAAATGATTAAACTTTCTAAAACTTGAATTATAAGTTTTTAATTAAATTATTTATATTATACATAAATTAAGTAAACCTTTAAAATAATGGTAAGTTTTAATTCAATCGATTAAAAATTTCATGTTAAATTTAATTAAGCAAAATTGACTTTTTTATTTGTTTCCATATGATTTTTATTATTTATTTATAATGTAACATTTGTAACAAATTTTATTTAATTATTTAAAATAGTGTTTACTTGTAATATGATTGAGTTATTAAATTAATTTTTTATCTAATCTTTATGGAACTTGAAAGTTTTTTATAATAATCTAAAGTCGTTGAGGAAATAAAAATGTTATTAATTAAAAGAATTTTTTTTTAGATTTTGTAAAAATTCTATTAGTTTACTTAAATATTTTAATATCATTAAAAAAACTAAAAAACTGTACCAAATTGTATAAAACTGAAGTAATATGATTGGTTTAAAAAAGTATAATTTTGGTTTTAATACTAAAAAAAAAAAGTTGATATAATATAATTTCATGAAAAAATCGAAAAAGCCGAACCGTGATGATCCCTAATCTTGGGGTTAATTTTTTGTGCATATTATTATTAAATCTTTCTACAATTTTAATATCCAAAATTTAATTATTGAATATCAAAATAAATTTAATGCATAATTTAACGCCTAGAGGAAGAAAAAAATTAAGTGGGTATGATCTCCAAATTAAATAGTTTTGGTTCAAACATTTTTTTTTTCCCGTTTTCTTTAGGTTTGGTCTTGATTTGAGGAAACTGCAAACTAAAATATTCATTTGGGTTTGGTTTGTTATGAAAAATCAATTTAAACAAATTAAAATTAATGGAATCTCAATATTTATAATAAAAGTAATATAATTTACATTAACATTTATTACATAATTCCAACCCATATGATTAGTTGGTTCAGCCGTTCCATATTTATAATATAAGTAGTATAAGTCATATAATCTACATTAACATTTATGACATATTTTCAACCCATGTGATTAGTGGGTTGAGCCGTTCTGACTCGGTTTTGCATATTTAATTTAAACCGGTTCGCGTTCCTTTCTTGTTCCGTGGTATCCAATTGAACTGGGCCGGGTGAGCAAGTGACCTGCAAAAAGGCTACTAGAAGAGGGAAGAAGATTGAAATTTGAAGACACTAGCCAGAGGAGTACAAGAGAATTATACTTGCTCAACAGGGAAGGCTAGGCGATGTTTACAGATATAGCAAGTCCAGGGAAAAAAGAAAGGAGAAGAAGAAGAAGAAGAAGAAAAATCCAATTTGCAGAAACTAGCTGCCACAGAGTCAATTTCGCTCTGCGAAATAAATGCCCTGTGTGTATTTCAACTGACCGCATTAAATTTCAACTGTCCCTCATTTCTAATCGGTTTGAGTTGTGGAGGTTAGCTTCGTCGTTGGCTGTTGTAACATTAAGTACGCTTTACATGTCTTTCGTCTTCACTTTTCTCCCTCCACTGTTCTGTGCAAGCTCATCTCCACAGCGCGCAGTGGTTTCGAACAAAACTCCGAAATTCCGGGGCATAGCCCATGATTTTCCATTTTCATTTGTACCCGGAATTATGTAGTTTAATTGTATAGGATATATATCTGTCACGGGCTGGTGGTGATTTTGCAGGGCATTTATTGCGTTCCATCCCCACTCGATGACTTTTTGACTCCAGCTGATCTATAAAGGAGGTATGGTTTTCGTTTTCAGGCAAATTCTGCTTCTTGATCTTGATATTTCGCCCAGATATTGAAGTGTCTTTCTCTTCATTTGATTTCTGAATTGTTTTGTGGTGAATTATGTGTAGTCTCTAGAGTGCTCCATAGGAATAGAGGGTTTGCATTGCAAATGTTTGATAATTAAGGCTATAAATCATTTCAGTCCTGAAAGGCTTTACCATCTAATGCAGTCATAAATATATGGTTTATTTAGTTTCAATTGTAAACTAAAAAAATTCTACACCTTAGAACTACATGTTGCGAAAATCGAAGAACAGAAATTCAGAGCAAGGAGATGAGAGAGCAAGAGAGAGTATCAATATCAATGATGGTATTAAGCCATTTGAAAGTTTTAGAGCAATTGAATTCAATTTTTGTAAGAAAATTTGAATTTTTAGCATATAATGTATCAAAACTAGATTATTCATACTTTTATGATGTAAAAATTTTGAATAACTCATTTTAAAAGAAATAATAAGAATAGAAAAACTTTTAAAGTTGGAATAATTTTAATCCAAATAGTCAAATTAAAAATTATGACTTATTAAAATAATATAAATTTACTAAGAAAATACGATTAATAGTTAAATACAAATTTAATTCAAGTAAACTTATTTTCACTATAATAAAATTTCAAATTTTAAAATGATTTAAAAATATTTTAATTTCAACCGAAATTAAAACTGAAACACGATTTGCATGAAGACTAATTGTTACAACGTATTTAGCCAATGGAAGTAGCTGTAGGTGGTCGCATTGGAACCCTCTAATTAAATGCAATCAGATCAATTATGTGACGTTAATTAGAAAAGAACTAGAGATAGAAACTGCCTACTGCTATTTAC